TTTCTACCTTAATATGTTGGCTTAATTACTTAATCTTCATTAGCAGATTTCGATTTATCATAAGAAAATAATCTTATATATATTAAAAAATAATCTAAAAATATATATTTGAATTTGAATTTATAAAAGAAATTTCAAAAACTCTACAATTACTCTTTCCATTTTCTGTCTTAATTAACTTAATTACTTAATTTCTCCTAGCTGCTTTAAGCCAATCAATAAGTGATTAAATCAAAGACTTAACTAACCAATCTCTGGGGTCAAGTAGGTGATAACCCTTTGAATATAAAAAATATATATAAAGAAATGATAATGTTATATAAATCGTAAAACTGTTTGCTGATTCGTCATGCGTGTCAAGGTTGTGGGCCAAAGTGCGTGAAACTTCTTATAAATTAATTGAGTGTGTGTCTTAATGTGAGTGTGTGTGCCAAGTGTGCGTGTGTTGGAGTGTGGAAAAGCTGTCAAAACAACAAATGTGATAAAAGTAAGCAAATGCTTAACCCTCCCATTGCCCCCACTCCAATCTCATATTCCCTTAGCCTGCTCCAGCGCGTGGGAAAATAGAAACTCAACCGCAAAGTTTTTTATTTCGTTTTGTTTTTACTTAATTTTTTTTTTACTTTTTGCTGGTCTTTTTGTTTTTATTTTTTCTTTTTACTCTGTTTCTTAGTTTTCTTTTTTTTCTCATTTTTTTTATATGGCAAGTTAGATAAAATGGTTTTAAACAAAACGTAGAAAAATGCTAAGGAGATTAAGAAATATAATTACGAATTTTAGATGCTCTAAAATAATTATTAAAATTAATTCCAAGGAAAAACTTTAACCGTATATATATATTTATTAAATTTTTCTCTGTCCTTGCTTTCTTTTTATTAAATTTTTAAAGCTAGAAAGCAGACCTTTGTAATCCCTGATTATGCTTTAAGCCACATGTTGCAAGACTTTACTAATTTAATTAGAGAAAATATCTGCAAGAATTACCAGTCACGCGTCAAATACACACACTCAACACACACACTCAACGCACAACCTGAACCCGGAAGAATGGATTATTCGGTGAATTTCAGTGGTAATATTACCGATTTTTACCGGGCATCGATACATCGATCTGGACTGGTTCGGTTCGCTTTGATTGTTTGGACATTTCCATACACTTGTCATGCGCCATATGGGCACAAGCTACACAGCAAAAAATATGCATATATTTATATATTTAAAAAAAAATATATATATACAACTCTCCTAATATTTATATATATTTTATATATATTTTATATATATTTTATATATATTTTATATATATTTTATATATATTTTATATGTATTTATACGTATTTTCATAATATTTATACTACAAAGAGGGACAATTATTTAAAATATTATTTATTTAATATTTATTTGGATAATAATTTCGGAGGGGAATAAATAAATAAAATTTTTAGCATTTTTATACCCAAACAGGCTATTATAAATTTAAAAGCTTGAAACAATGGGAAGGAATCATTTCCGACCCTATAAATCATATATATTCTTGATCAGCATGAAAAGCTGAATCGATCTAGCCATCTTAGGCAGAAAAAAAATTTTTACCAATTTTTTCAAAATTTTATAAGGGGTTACATCGTTAAAATTGCACAAAAAATTAAAAAAATGTTTTTTTTTTAAATGTATTATTGAGTATACAGATTTGTTATTATCATAAAAACTAACATAGGACAGCTTTCCGAATTGAAATTAAAGCATTTTTGGCTTAGTTATGGGTTTTTTAAATTTTGATTTGTCGTTAAAATTCTCATATCGAAATATATAAACAAAAAATATATTTAAACCCATTACAAGTATTAATATAAAATACTAATAAATATATATAGCAATAATAAGTATTATTTTTGCTATATAATTATGAAATCTAAAACAAATTTCTCTGTGTGCATAATTTGTGAAGGGCTGCGAACCGGATTGGACCACCGAGTAACCTCTGGGCCCCACTCCGCCTGCCGAGTGCCCCAAACAATGGCTGTGCCAATTGATCAACTGCCGATCGCTTTGAATGGATATAGCTTTAGGGGGAAAAATCGGGGACTAACTGGGGGGAATATGTGTGAATTGTGGAGGGGCACAGTGGGGAGCAACCCTATTGATCTATCTAGAAAATTAGTATAAAAAATATACTCTTTCCTGCAATATTAGTACCTAAATGAAGTGATTATTAACATATAAATAACTATGAAAGACATTAAAAAGGTTTCTAATATAAAATAATTTAAAAACATATATGATTGTGTAATTTTAATTATGAGAATTGAAAAATAAATAATAATATATATAATATAATATATATTTAAATATTTATTTAAATAATAACAAATCCCTCTCGCCCCACTGTTCTTGATTCATGCGTTTGGTGCAACAACAACAATGACAATATAAACAATAACAATAGTTTGAGGTTCATGGTCAAGCGTTGTAATATTTTAATTTATTTGGCGTTCTTTCTTTTGTTCTTCACATTCGCCACAAGCGTGTATATAGTATATATATATATTCTTTTAAATATATATTTATTTTTTTATATTTAATATTTTGTTTAAGATTTTCTTTAGCATTACAATAACTTGAGTTCTTATTGCTGTTTATTGATGGGACCTGGAGTTTTTTGTATTTCCGATTTAATAAAAAATAAATAAAAAATATATATTTATTGCTATATATTTTCCTTGTATTCTTTTTTATTGAAAATATTTAATAATTATATTTATTTCTCGCTGTGTTAATTTCTCATTGGGCTAACTTTTCGCAATTTCCCATGGCCCCTCCGTGTTTCATATTTTGTAGAAATATATTTCGGGCCTTTTGGTTCGATTCGATCATTAATCTTTCGCCTCATATTGAGTGGTCATCCCCTTTCTTGCCCCCTTTTTTTGTTGGTGGGCCTTTGTTCTTCCAATTTGCTTAATTAACTTCTAAACGTCGCCTTTGGCTTGTTGTTTTATTTCATTTTGACTTCTTTGTATTTCTTTTTGCGATATTTTGCACGCAAAATTCCCTTTTTTTGTGCCTCAACTAATTAGCAGTTTCGTTTTGGTCTTTTATCTGCTTTAAAAATGTTTCTTAAAATGTTAAATAAAATAAAAGGAATGGAATCCCAGTGATTAAGTCGTTTGAGAGAGTCAATAAAAGAGGCTTCAAAGGGGATGGGAAATTATTTAAACTATTTAAAATTAGAGAAGCCGAAGCAGGAAGTTGATAATATAGAACTTGGCCAGATATTTAATATTTATTAATAATAAATATAGTATATTTGTATTACTTTTTGAAACTGGAAAGTATTCAAATATTATTATTGAAGTGCCTTGCATTAAATATATAAATATATTTATAATACTTATAACATTTCAATGGGATTTATATTTTTAATTTTTGCATATTTATTCATCAATTATTAAAACGTTTTGGTCTTCAACAAATTTATTTGTTATTTATTTTAATTTTTGGCCATATTTCTTATTTCTTTTTGAATTATTTGTAAGTTTGTATTATTTGTAATCTTAATTATTCATCATTTAACAATTTTAAAATATTTTTATTTACCCGATTCCCATTTTATGAATCCATTAAAATATTAAATAAATTTCTCCTATTTGTATTTATATTTTTATCTCTCATATATGACTTATTATATATTCATATTAATAGATAATCCCACTATTTAGTATTTTATTCAAGTCATCATTTGGTAAATCTAAGAAGTCTCGCTACCTATCTTTATTAACTGGCCAAGATCGGTTAAGTTAAGGCACTTACTTTAACCGCTGATAACACCGACAACGCGTCGCTTGATTGCGACTAAGGTAAGTCGGTATTATTATAGTAAGAATTACCCAACCCACCCCCTTTCCTCCTCCCCAAAAAATAGAGGAAAGAAAAAAAACTTGTCCCTCGATGGTGTGTGCCTGTTTCTGACCTTGGCGGGTGTTGGGCAAAATTTATTGTTATTTCTGTTTGAGGTTTTTTATGGTATGGCATTATTAATATAATCAAAAGCTCTGCGTGGAAAAGTGCGAAATAAAATGCGTGAGGCGCAAAAAAAAAATATAATAAAAAAATAACGAAGAAGTCAAAAAAAAAATGTTTAAAAAATGTGAAGAAACAAAAAAAAGGAAAAGAAAATTAAAAAAGAAGCGTATGCTAAAAGATTAACGCAAGGCGTTTATTTCTTTTGCAGAATCGCGCGATACAGACCTTGATTGATAACTAAACTATATATAACTATATATATATACATATAACTATATATTTATTAACTATATGTATGTATATACATTTTAGTGCTTTTAGCAACCAAAAGACCTTCAAATAATATAGAAATATTTCACTGCGGGAGAACGTTTCGAAAAAAAAAAAGTGATAGTAAATTAGTTTAGTTTAGTTTGAATTATACTACGGCACTTAAGTGTCTGACAATTGATAAGATTCCATTCGCACCGATATAGATATTGCTCTTGCTGAATATATATATATAAATATATAAACTAACGCACGATTTCAGCTGCGGAAAGGAACTTAATTAGCAAAGTTCGGGGAATCACAGCCAAAGACCCTTCAGATAGAGTTTGGATTTGATCTCTGGAATGGCAAAATGCCGATAGAAGGGACACGTGCTGAGATCAGGGGTCTTTATAATGCCGGAAACTAATATATATATCAGAAACTTAATTTTAAAGTTCTTTGGTTAATTATTTTAAACCTGAAATAAGCCTAAATATATTTAATGAACATTTTTCTATATTTTATGTATATATTAAATCAGTCGAAGTATATTTCAAAAATATATTATATATATTAAGTCTTCTTATATACAGTTAATATTTTATATATTTTAAAAATTAAATATATTTTGGTTATATTTTATCAAATCAGTAATCTTGACAGGTATCATCGACTTCTTTAAGCAAATATATTAGATATCTTTATTATTGTAAAAGGGACTTACTCACCTGAATTCTTTTGAATATATGTATAAACCAAACGGATGAAAGGATTCTGAAATAAATAGAAAATATTCGAGTATAAAATATATATAATAAATTTTGAACGAATAAAAAAAAAACAATTTAACAAGAAAGAACTTATGTTAAAAAAATTAAAAATATAGTATAGTATAAAGTATACATTTTATATTTACAGTTTTACATTCACAGTTTTGCATTTTGCTTTATTTTTACGATCGTTTGTATGGCAGCTATAAGATATAGTAGTCCGATTTTCATCAAATTTTACACAAAATTCTGGATTAATATATATAATTTATATATATATTAAAATTTATGAAAATCTGTTGGAAACTGGAAAAGTTATAATTTTTTTCTTACAATTTCCCGATTGTTCCTATGGTATATATATATCTGTATATATATATAGTCCGCCGATTCGCCATGCTCCGATTTATATACTAGTCAAATAATATAGAAGAATAACTCCAAAGTTTTATTGCTTGGTCTTAAATTTGTTCCAAAACAAATCTCGCACATGTGCGCATATAATTCTCAACTAGTTCACACATCCCCAGAACGAAGTAACTTCTACCAGCCACGTCTCAGACATGTGTAGTGTTACAAAAGTTGCAAGTCATTGTTTATTAGTGTTCAAAGTTAGTAACAGATCATACATACATATGTACATACATACCTACTGGTCATAGATACTTACAGTTCAGAGGTACTTACTGCTTATAGTTAATTACTGATCATAGTTATCTAATGATCATAGTTATTTAATGTTCATAGATACTTACTGATCATAGTTAATTACTGGTTATAGATACTTACTGTTCAGAGTTGCTTACTGATCATACTTACTTACTGTTGTAAGATATTAAGTAATCCTCCACATTTAACACTTATGAAAATATGGTCAATGCTGTAATAACTAACTAACTGTGACATAAAATCCAAATCCTGAAGAAATGACTCCTTCACTCAGTTTTAAGCTTCTGACTAAAGGTCTTATACCATTCCTTGAGTCAATATTTATCAATAATTTTCTATGACAATTTTTTTGACAAATCAAACTTTAAATAATTCATAACTCAGCCAAAAAAACATTAATTTTAATTCGGAAAACTGACCTATGCTAGTTTTTATCAGGTTAACAAATCTGCTTACTATTTTAAATTAAAAGAGAATTAAATTTTTGACAATTTTTTTTACAATTTTAACGATGAAACCTCTTATAATATTTTGAAAAAATTAAAAAAAAAAAATATTTTTCTGCCAGAGATGACCAGATCGATTCTGTTTTTGATGCTGATCAAGAATATATATGATTTATAGGGTCGGAAATGTCTCCTTCACCATTTTTCCAGCTTCTGACTAAAATAGTAATACCATTGAAAGGGTATAAAAATTAAATAATTATACAACAAATTAAATAAATTAATCCTTTCCGAATATAACAAATTCGTAACATTTATTTACAAAATAAATTAAATAACAATTGGCTTGCTTTTTGGCATACAATTCGGTCGATTGACTTAAATATCTGCCTGCTCGACTTCCCATTTAAACTCCTAGGAATTTAGAGGCGGGACTTTGTTGGTATATATTTATATATACATCTATATAGGAGATATATAAATATATATAGAGATAGAAGAAAAGAGGAAGAGCGACCCCAGGTGGGCTAAAATTAACATAGCCCCAAAGTTTTTGTCAAGAAACTGCAGCTTCTAATTTTGTTAAGAAAATATCCATCAAATACGAAATATTCACACAGTGAGGAAATCATAATTATTAATAATTATTTATATTTATAATAAAATAAATTTATATTATATTATGTAGTTTCCCATATACATAACAAAAATATGTATTTAAATAGGTTTCACATTTCAAATACTGTAATTCCCACTTAAAATTCATGTGATAAAAACTCCTTTTAAAAATAATATATTATAAAAATGGTTTAGCAATAAAGAAATATTTATTTAAATTATTTGTATATTTAAACTGACAGTTTTGAAGCTAATATAAAATCCTTCTAATTATTTTATTTGACGTACTTTCTTTTCCCTTGATCAACTATATAAATCCAAACCCCTTCTTCTTTTTTAGATAAATTTCTCCCAGTGCATCCTGTATCCGTTCTGACTGTTGTGCAGTTTAAGGGACTTTGCTGATATTTCTGTAAAAGGTCACGCTCTTGGCGGCCAGACGTGAGTGACAGAGAGCAAATACAAGAAAACACACACAGAAATGGAAAGCGAAATAAAATTAAAAAATACATAAATATATATATAGTAAATATATATATGTATGTGTGTGCTGTGTGTTATCCAAAAATAAACAAGAAAATTATCTCGACACAGACGGAGAGCGGAAAATATTAGTTTTAGAACTGAAGAGCTCTGGATTTTCCCGCTTATCGTGCGTGTGTTTAATGATTTTCCCTCGACGATAACCTCAAGTGCAACTTTGACGAGACGTCGGGGGTCTTGAGAGCACAGAAGTGCCATGAGGAGCATCGAAGTAGCAGGTATATAGTTGCCCCTACCCCACACACCCATCCTCATCAAAAGAAAAACTAAAAATTTTCCACCCCTGGGGTCCCTGTCTTTCTATTTATTTTTTAAAAGCTACCCCTTAGGAGGAGAGTTTAAAAGAGTTTTAAGTCATTTGAAGTGTAATTAAAAATGTAAATAATTATTTTTTTTATTGCAAATTTTTTTGTAAAATATATTAGTTGAATATTAAAACTTTTTCTAGGAAATTCAGTTAATTAAAATTATTTTTTGTCACAAAGAAATTATAGTTCTTAATGAAGTTCGGTTATTTTTCTATTTAATTACTTTAATTTCTATCTTAAAAAATCGTTAAAATTTCTATGTTTCCTTTACGGAAAACTATAAATTTATATTGCATTAAATAAAATTTTCTTGGTAGAACCTTTAAAAGTTTACTTACTGGAAAATAATAAAAGAATTCAGAAATATGTTTAAAATTTAGAAAGAACATAGATACGTCTTTTGATTATTATTTAATGTATTTTTATCAATTTATCGTTTATTTATTAACTGGTTAATTTATTTATTGGTGTACATTACTTTTACTCTCTCATTATTTATTCATTATTTCTTTCTTTATAACTTCTTTATAATTTACTAATTTATTTAAGGTACCTCCAAGTCTATTTTCTTTTTCCAATCCCTCAATTAATTATTTTCCCTGTCCCTCATTTTTGGTGTTGATTGTTTTTCCCCCGCTGGTGGCTTCTTCGCTTTTGGAAACTCTTCTGGATTTTCTTCACTTGAGTGGGTCCTTTTTTCTGTGCCCTGTGCCACTTGTATCTCGGCACTTTGACCCCTCCCCCTCAAGAAAATTACAAGTGCATCATGATTTTTGGGGGAAAAACAAAAGAAATTGTGGGGACATTAACAGTCGGCAAGGGGCCCAAGTGATAAAATGGAGAACTCCAAAGAAAAGCGGTAGCCCCAATAATCAGGGGCATAATGTGGATATCAGAGGGGAAACTCTTAAAGATTACAGTAAATTAATGTATTTAATTAATATTAATTAATAAATATTTCAAGAGATTGGGATTAGATCTTTGGATCTTTATTTAGATAAAGTGATGTAAATGTAAATGTAAATATTCTTTATATAAAACATAGTTTTATATCTTTAAAAAATGTTTATTTAAATACTTGTATTCCTTTCAAAATATTTAATACCTATATCAAAAATTCATGAGTATAAAAACTAAACTTTAACAAATTGCTGTTTAAATTTGTTCGCTTTTCCCCCATTTTCTTTTGATTGTCCCTGCTCCTGGGTTTTCCGCAGTTTACTTTCTTGCATACTATTTGTATTATTTATTTTTATATTTATTTTTATTATCAATTCCAATTTCAATTCCGATGCCAATTCCGAATTCCCGACACAGACGCATCGCATTAACCTGCCCGCCCACGGTATGACCTTGAAACTGGCGTGACCTTGAGCCGGGATGCCCTTATACATAAAAAAAATCTAAACAAATAAAGTACATATAGTACAGAGACAAAAAACAAATGATTTTTAAAAAAAAGATAGCCAAAATAGTTGAAATAAGTCATGAAATAAAAGAGAACTTTAATTCAAATTTGTTAAATATAAACACCGACAAATGGGTGTAAGAATTACTTATTTTTTGATTAGTTATATTAAAAGTTTATTATTAATTATTGTGTAATTTATATTATACTAAATCAAGGTTTGAAAAAGAAAAAACAGCAAAACCCTTTCAAAATTGTTTTACATTATTAATTAAAGTAAAAGTAAAAGCAATATATATTTTGATTAATAAATAAATAATAAATTTAAATTATTTAATAATTAATTAATTTATTTATTTTTTATTTATATATTTAAAAAAAGTATTAAAGTATTATACTCTCTACAAATAACAAAAACTTATTTTTGCGATGCAAAGATTCCTCCCAAACAAAAATTAAGGAAAGTAAATACGGGAAAAATATAATGGCGGAAAATGGCTGGAGTAAAATGGAGGAACAAGAAATAAGGGAAATGGCAGGATGCAGCCACATCCTCTATCCCACTCTCTCTCCTCCCCCCACAAGGGCGTGACCTTCACTGGCGGAAAAGTGGGTGGCAAGATGGCGTCGTCTGGAATTGCTAAAATCCTTTGGAGACTTTCTTGATTGCGCAGGACACGCAGCAGCAGGAGCAGCAGCAGAGGATGTGGAAGTGTCTGTCTGGCTCCTTAATACCCCCTCCCCTCCTAATATTTTCCACACACACACACATTTACCTCCTCTTCCTGCCTGAATTTGCGGTTGAATGTCCTTTTGCTGCCCCTCCCGTCTGGCAAGTTTGTTTTTTGTGCTGCTCCTGCTGCTGCGCCCGGGGTTTGATTACCGTTTTGAAGGTCGCAGACAGCAATGCCACGCCCCATTTTTCGCCCTCCCCACCTACCATTTCTGGCTAACTCCCCTTGATTTTTCGGTGCTGGGAAATTTGTGCCAAATTCGCAGACAGCCGCAAAAT